GATGGCAAAGCTATGAACACAACATAACTCAAAACATTCCTGTTGTGGAGAAGCGTATTGACTTTCATCAATGCTGAGCACCATGCGAACTTCAGAGAAATCCATCAAAGGAACTGGGGTGTGTAGAGAGAGATATTTATCTTTTTTTATACATATAAATATATATATATTAAAGCTTCTTTGTAGCGCCCAGGTCATTTCTTCTACCGAAGATGAAGCTGTAGTTCAAAGGGCGAGACCCTCTGCGCCAGCCCCTACCACCACCGGACAAGCCTAACCCAAGGCTTCGTGAAGGCAATATTCAGCAAGAGCATACAGGATGGATCAGGATCAAAAGAACAAACCGAATTTCGACGACTCATCTTCTGCTTCACCATGAGGGTATTTTAAGTCTAAGATACGGGTTCATTCCTTGGAACATCTTGCCAAAAAAAGAGTGTTGCCCAGCAACTACTAAAACAATGTTCTGGAAGGAGGTAGCTGCTGGACAAATTAACCCAGTAAGTGCCCTTTTTCCCTGCGTTTCATGCAGCCATTGCAAAGCCTCTGGATCCCTGGCAGACAGATCTGCATCCCAAATAGCGAGCTGTAAGGAATTTCCCGAGAAGGCTGTCAGACAGACAGTTTTGGTGTAGTAGCAGTGTCTTGCATTAAGCAAACACATTTGGCTTAGCGCAGCGCTACGCTCCAATACAAAACGAACACAAATAAAAACCGCTGCAAAAGCGCACACAAACTAACTTGATAGAGCCAGCAGCGAGAGCCCCAAATTCTCAACCCCGGGCTCTGCTTCAGCTTCGCCGCTATTGCGGGGTCTGACTTGCGTTTGCAAAAGGGCTCTGTGCATTTCAGTACGAATGATTTCTAAGGAAACACTGGTGCTTTTAGCCTAGCTAGAGGGTCAGCTGTAGTTCATACTTTCCACATAAGCCCATGCATATTAAAAGGATGTTCATTTATAGTCACTATTCAGATGCACAGTCATACTCAAAGACGGCAATTAGAGCAGCGATTCCAGCTTTATAAAGTAAGTAAAATATCTTTTTTTGTTCAAAGCAGTGCAGATAACCAAGGAACTGTCACACTCTTTCTTTTTTTGGAGACTCGTACAACTGGGACTTTTTCCAGGAATCTCATCTGTACACTGTATATTCAGACCAGTTAAGTAAAATAGTCTTTTGCAAGAATTTTCGTATTAACATTTTTAAAAAGAAACACCCTAATGAATGTACTCTTAAGCCTTAACATTTTGCAAGGCAGTTTTAGGAGGACTTTTGAATTAGTTGGAGCTGAAAACGTGAAGGGTCAGAGAAACACTGTACTTTAAAAAAAAACAACCAACCAAACACCAACACACCCAAACTACATTTAAAGTGGATTTAGAAAGCCAGAATAAAAAAAAAAAAATCCACTGAAATCTCACAGACCATAATTACCATCCAACCTCAAACCACTAACTTCAGGTGCTATCTGCTTCTGATTGGGATGGGAAAAAGGAAGGGGGGGAAAAAAAAAATATCAGCCTTCACACCTTCAAGTGATCAAACTAGTATTTTAAGGACCTGGAAGCACCACAGCATTTTATAGGTGAAATAACTACCGGTAAACACTCATAGTAACTTGAGGCTGCTGGACTAGTATCTTTCCTTCAAGTTCTTTCCAACTCCGGTACTTCAGTTTTTTCTATCTAATACACCCTCTGAATTATATATATATATTTTTTTTTTAATGCCTCATTTATACTTTTATACCACACTCCAAATCTTACCTGAACTCTATCCCATCTTACTCTCAGCCTCCTCTTGCATCTCATCCCTCTCAGGGCTCCACCACCACCAGCTTACTCTGCCAGCCTACTTTTTCCACAACTTTTGTCAACAAAGCAAGCCCTCGTGTCCTCAGGATACCTCTGTACGCTTTCCTCCAAGCAGACTGAAAGGCTCTATCGCTCCCATCCCCGACTCCAGTCGTGCCGCTGCAAATCATTCTGCTCAACCCAGTCCGTCCAAACACACATCGAACTTCCCTCGCTGAATCTTCCTTAGGACAACTTGAAGCCAACATTTTTAAAAGGAGTGACTTATAGCACACAAAGCCCACCTCCGTTTCAGCTACGGAGTGCTAGTGCTTGCTTTTAGAAACGCATTCCTCAGGCGGGGACTATTTTCACACCACAAGCAGGTTATCGGCGTTTAGTGACAGCATATACTCACGGCTAAATATTACCGTCAAGCGCCTTTCGCATGAGAGGGGCTCTCCCCAGGAAGAAGGATGGTGCACACACACCCCCACTCCGTGCACAGCAGCTCTGCTGCATTTCAGGGGTCTAAAGTAGAGAGAGGAAAGACAAACTACCACCCTCTAGACCAGAGCCTTGCTGCTGCCACGAGATGCAACTCATTAAGCGTAGCCTAGGCAACAAGACTTTTTAAAACCTGAGACACCCATGGCCAAGAAAAAAGTAGGGTGGATTAATTCTGCTACTGGATATATATGCTTTAGATTCACACTGCATTTCCTTAGAGTCATGTATGCATATCTAAGCAGTGAATCTTGCTTCTAGGTCTCTCTCACCACTTTGATTAAGCGTGAAAATTATATTTACAACTGGTTTACATCTGCCCACAGAAGACAGATCTGCTCAGAGAAGCTCAGAATTACATTTCTTAAAAATACTACCCGAAGTGAGATCGTCGAGACTGGCCACGAAGTCACAGGTTCAGTGTTCCTCCCAGAAGGTGACTTCAGATTTGACCGACCTGCGTCTGGACACCTTAAAGCACAGCTCGCTTGAAAGGGGATTCGCACATAGATCTAAAACAGGTTATAGCACAGAGGTGTTTTTCCAGTACTGTGTAAAGCTATAACGTAAGTCACTTACATTTGACTAATTTTCATCCTGCTCTAATGAGATTTTCAAAAGTTACTTCTCGCTTACCAGTGCCAGTGTTTCGCACCTATCTGAATTCAAACCAAGATCACGCTTCTTCTCAGGCCTCAAACTGCAGCGATCCCATCGGCTGTGATGACCAGTATGGACTATCTGAAATCACTGAACAAACGTGGGCACCACGTACAAAGTTTACCGGATGCTAGAACATTTCCAGGCTGCTGCTGCGCAAAAGGTATCTTGTGCTACTGATCTGCTGTACCTGTGACACTGCCCAAGGCCACGAAGACTAAATCTCAAGTATGACAAAACTAAATATTGGGACTACTGAATTACATCCACCAGATGCCCACAGTTGCTTTGTATCCCAGATGTAAATGTTACTGTTGGGATAAAAGCACCTTAGGGAAGACCTTGTGTTCCATTTCCAAAGGAGGTATTTTTGCAAGGAGTCATAAAAACACCAAGATTGCAGAGGCATGGCTGCCATTCCTGACTTTGCCAGACACTTCCCATGCAACACCCCAGGCGAGCCTCTGGGTGCCTTTGCTTCATAATAATAAAAAAAAAGGGTGTTTTCCATTTGTGTTGAAGATGGTGCAATAAACTTCATTATTACTTCTTCTGAACATATTTATCGTGGAAAGGATTTTATCTTAGACTACACTTACAAAGCATGTGTATAAATAACAGAAATGCCTGCTAAAATTTTATGACTCTTGTTGCCATTTACCATTAAGCATAAACTTCCCCATGAAAGCTTTAGTGAAGTAACTACAAAGGTTGGAAAAGGTTCACACCATTCTTTCTCCATGTATAAATTATAAGTAATATGAGAACATTTACAATGTCTAACCACAATGTTTTATGTCAGACAAATGTCTCTGTACTTGCAGTTCCTAAACTGTGCTAGCAAGAACTGCCTTTTTCTCATTCTTTTCTCTCCCTCTCCCCTCCCCTCCTTCTACACCCAGCAGTCTCAGTCAAACCTGGCTTTATTCCTTCATATCATTTTAACGTCAAGAAATGCCTAGAGTCAGGGCTCTAGTTCACGTAACACCATTGTTCTTTTTCTGGAGAGCTTAACATTGAATGCTAAAACTTCCCCAGGTTGCCTCTTCAAGTATTTGAATCATCAGCTATTTAGTTTTCCAGTAAAAAGGGAGAAAAAACAACAAGAACTCACAGACTTCAGCAATATTCTAAAAAGAGAGTTTCATGATATGAGACATCTTCATGTCATAGCAAAAAAACAAAAAAAAAAAAAACCCCAAACAGCAGCAAACAAAACCAGCAGTACAGAAGGTAATACAATTTTCAAGGGCAATCACTTGCAGTTCTGGCCAAACCTGAATAGAATTATGGTAATCCCAAGCCCCTGGTAAAGGCAAAGCATAACTACGGAAACAAGATTTATCCAGCAAAGGAACAAGACAAACAGTTGCTGCTACATCTTAAAACAGCAATAAAAGGTAGATCAAATATTTAGAATATTTCAGCTATCCTTTGGGTAAAAGATGCACCCAAGGCATGAAAAAAGAAGAATCGAAGAAGATTTTTCGAAACAAAATCCCAGTTAGTGCTTCTCTTCCCATTTGATATTTTTCTTAAACAAATCAGCCCTAGCCAAACTGTGCAAAGAAGTAGGCATTAATTTCTTATCACTAAGCAGAAGTTTCCTGGCACAATGAAAGCAAAGTCAAACGTAGTTAATGTCTAATAGGTCAAACAACAATAGCTGTTACAAACATTGGCTCCTTTTCATCTTCCTCTTCTCTGAGATAGTTTTGGTACTAAATGGCATGTATGATAGCACGGAGAAAAAGAAATTAAACTTAGAGTCCCTGTAAGCTTGGACAGATCTGAAAGCCAACCTCAGCTGGCAACCCCATCTCCACCCCCTCACAAAGCATTCTTTTTAAGTCCCACAACTCACTTCACAAGACATTCATACTTATAGACTTTTTTTCTTCTCCATGAGTTGCCCTTCATGGAAGATGACACTAAAATATTCCATAGAAAGCGCGGAGGTCAAAAACAGTTACATGCGATGCACAAAATGAAGGACTTCTTCCAACCAGAAGGGTAATAAGCTGTCTAATAAACGTACCTCTGAATTTTTTGGGTGGGTTGTTAAGGTCACCTGCTTCTGGCTGTACAACACACCGATCATCCACAAGGCTGCAAAGAAATGAGAAGTAAAGTGAGATTCTATTCCCTTGCAACTGCTTACATCCTTGTTAGCAAAATCAAAGTCGTTTATTTGCAGTATTTTATCCAAGTGGCCACTTCAGCAGAAGACATTCCCCAAATGCCAACTTATGCCAAATCTTTCTAAGAAGCATGCAGCTAATTTTTACTGTTGCCCAGAGCTATGCTCCTGGATAGGTGGGACAATAGATAAGTCATTGCTCCTGTATACTGCATCATCTTTATGTCCCCTCCTTGAGGTGCAGGCAGAACAGCCCATATTCTAGTTAGGTGACAGACAGCCTTAGAACAATTATTGCCTCTTGGACAGATTTGAATAATGTTGCAAATGTGTTTATATGAAGGGTAGAGAACAGGAAAATACAACAACTATGCGAACTGGACAGTGCCCCTGTGACCCCTCAAGTATTAAGAAAAGGCAGAAACGGTAACTGCCACAACAAAAATTGACTCCCAAGAGAAAGGAAGGCATAAATACGCCCTCCTGCTCACCAGTCATAAACGCAAGATAAGTCAAGGGATCGAACTAACCTCCTCCTGTTCTACCCATGAAGGAGGTGAATTGGACAAGTGAACCCAAGGGATTCCAATAGGGAATGCCAGGACAGAGCTTCTCCTGAGAATGAATACACATTGGCAAAAACCCCACAGGGTCAATTCAAATCCCACAGAATAAATAAAAATAGTTAAGATGCAGCTGTCACCAATGCTCTGACCTTAGCATGCTTTGGATCAACATGGAATCGCACTTTTACCAAACACTCTTTACAAATCGTGAAAATGCAACTGTAACCAAATATTTTGTAGTTTGTGATTTGATCCTAAATGACTCAATTTGGCCCCTTAAAACCAATCTGTCAAAGAGGCTTTCTACACAAAAGTAGAAAGTAAAAACGCCAAGGTCTTAAAAGGTTTGAGGGGTCCATTCTCATGCAGAATCAACTTGAGAAAGATTGAGACCTAGAATATGAGAGTTGTTCCTTGCAGAGGCTGGTTACATGCAGGGAGCATCTTGAGACAACAATTATGGAAAATGATGAAATGCATAAAAATCAAGAGATCAGAGACATTAAGTGGACTCAACAGTTCTATGCATCTAAAATTTGCATACGCAAACGTTCAGAGTCAATTGCTTTTTCCCCATGGATTTTCTCCCTATTCAGTATTATATATACAGATATGTGCTCCAACAAGAATGGTGGTATTAATACCTGAGCTGACTGAGACACCTGCTTCTAGTGAACAAAGGGCCAAAAAATATCAAGTCAAATGGGTTATTCTGATCATCCCACATGGAGATAATCTCAGTGCAATATATCCCTCTCATCGTGAGATTAAATTGAAAGTAAAGAGGAACTTCCCAAACTACTAAGAAAAATATTTTACAGGGTGAAAAAAACCCACAAAAGAGGATATATTGTACACCGGTAATCGTAACGATGACAGCACTGAGTTTGGGAAACAGCAGGA